GGGGGGCTGGTAGTATGGTTCGCGCAGGGGGTCCGGCAGCAGCTTGGGGCTGGTGGGCTCGATGATCATCTGAGGGGGGGGACAGGGGGAGGGGTGGAGCCCCCCGAGTGTGGGGATGAGCCACCGGCGTGGGGACAAGGGTCCCCAAAAGGGGACAGGGCACGGGCTGGAGCATGGGGACAAAGTGCCCTGGCAAACGGGGACAAAGCCCCTGCCTCGTGACAAGGACCCCAAGGTGGGGACAAAGGACCCCCCCCAGCGGGGACAAAGACCCCCAAATGGGTGACAGGGGACCCCAAAACAGGGATGTGACTGCCCAGCACTGGGACAAGGTCCTTCAAGAGGGGATGGGGATCCAAAATGTGCCCAAAATGGGGACAAAGCTCCCCAGGAGAGTGAAAAAGCTCTCAGGACAGGGACAGCCACCCCCAATTGGACAAAATCCCCCAAAATGGGGGGAACCCCCCCCCAGTATGTGTCCCCACACACCTGCCTGTAGTCCTTGAAGTACTTGTAGGTCCTGCGGAGCTGCTGGATGCCCACGGGGTCTGTGGAGCCAAGGCCAGCACAGGTGAGGGTCACACAGGGTCCCTGCTGTCCCCAAGGGGGGTGACAGTTCTCCCCCGCCACCCCCCAACCAGGATAAAGACCAAAACGCCCCCCAAAAAGTCCCTTTTGGGTAACAACGGGGTGTTAAAAACATCGTAAAAGCCTCCGGCCGTGACATCCAAGTGTCAAACGGCCCCGAGGATGCAATGTGTCCCCTGCCCTGCGCTGGCTGTCACCCCCCCAGGGGCATCTGGGGACGTCACTCACCGCCATCGAACTCATCGGGGATCTGTGGGGAGAAGAGGGAGGCGAAGCGTTAGGATGGGGACGGCGAGAAGGACGCGGTGATGCTGGAGGGGTCACGGTGGCACCGGAGGGGCTGCGTGACTGAGGGGGAAGGGACACGCGAGGTGACAGGGACAATTCGCAGGTAGGTGACGCCGTTTCCGTACAGTTTCCTTCCATCGACTGATATCCTCGTCACCCCACTGCTGTTCCTATCACCCCGCTGGTGTCATTGTCACCTGCTCAGCACGCCCCCCCACCGTCATCCCGTTTGATGTCCCCGTGTCCCCCCCGCTGGTCACCGGAGACACTGGAGCAATTCGCACCTCTCCCTCCCTGGGGAGCTACGCCACACATCAAAACCCCCCCTCGACACCTCCCGGATTCTCCAAAAAAGGGGTTTTGGGTGAGAAAAACGCCTCCCCGGGGTGTGACGAGGACTGTCAGCCCCTTTGATGACGTGCCGCTCCCTTTGGGGACATACCACTCCCCTTGGGGACATGAGGCCCCAGTGCTCCACCTGATGCAAAGAAGACCCCAAAATAAGGGAAAAGGCCAGGAAAGGAAACAGGTCAGGGTGTGTGGGTAAGGGAGGGAGAGGGGGAAGGTGCTAAGCCCCCGCAGTGTCCCCAAGATGTCCCCAAAGGGCAGGGAGGGGACATCGGCACAGTCCCCCTGCCTAAAGAAGAGGGTGGGGAACCGTGGCTGAGCGCCCCTCACCTTGGCACCGTGCTCGTCCACTGCGTTGCTGCCTGTGGGGGGGGAGAGCGGAGGTGAGGAGGGGCCGCGGTGGCAGCAGCGGCAGCAGGGACACGCGGGGGACGCTGGGGACTCACCGAAGATGTAGACGAGCACCACACCAACGCCCGCACCCAGCAGCCTCGCCAGGCGCAGG